GCCCCCCCCCCCCCCCGCCCCTCCCGTCGCCTGAGCAGGAAGGGACTCTCGCACCTCCCCCCTCTCCCCCGCCTGAGAATCCCTCCTCGGTTTGCTTCCCCCCCTCTTTCCGCGGCAGCTGCCATCTGTGGGACCTCCCTGCCCGTCCCGTCGCCACGGCAAGAGGGGGCTGCCGAACTTCCCCCTGCCGCCAGGAACGGAGGCAGCCACTTCCCGCGGGTAGTCAGCAGCCTCACAGAGGCCTTCACGCTGCTCGAGACACACGATGACATAGAGGAGGTGAACAGCCGTCTCACTCACACGACGTGCCACTCACCCCGCACACGACATTTGTCCATCTCGTCTGTGGCTCTCCGTTTGTCTGTCAGGTGGTCGAGGTGGTGCGGAAGAGGCGGCTGGCGGAGGGCAAGCCGATGCCCAGCAACGCCGCCAGACGAATTTCCCCCTCAACGCCCATCGGCCAACCACCAGCTGCAGCAGTAGGGCAGCTGTCAGTGGAGCTCGTCAATGCCATGACTGAGGGCTTGGTAAGTAGCAATGCACAATTGCGAGACAGCAACTCAGAGAGTATTTGTGGGTGATGTGTGTGTCTTATCTGTGCAGCTGGCGGAGAGGGCGGCCCGGCGTGAGGCACTTCTGCGGCGGCCGGCGTTCACAGGGCCTGACGCCCCAGGCACGTCGCAGAGTGAGAGGGGTCCCGGACGAGAGAGAGATGGGCGCGCTCAGCGCGCCACCGGCCCCGCGACGTGTTGATTTGGTGTGTGTAGGTCGATGCAGTCACTCCCTTGCATTTATTCACAGAGACATCAAGCCAAATGTGAGCACTACTCGAAGACCACATGCCTGTTGTCTTGAATTGTTCTGTCTGTCTTGTCTGGCAGAATGTTCTCGTGCGGGGAGATAATTTGCAGCTAAGATTGGCGGATTTCGGAATGTGCATTAGACTCTCGGTACGTATTCATTACAGCTGCCAACACGACATTTTGTTTCGTTCCTTTTTATGTGCAGCGCGGGGGATGTCGTGCATATGCGGCCGACTGTTCGCAGAATCGCTATCTACATTTTATATCCCGTTGGTCCGTGTATCATCAACGTTGCCTGCATTGCTTACGTGTGTATATCACGGTGCTGCTCTGATGATGGAGACACGAACCGTTGAATGAACACAAAGACGCGAGTCTCGCGTGATGTCGCACCATGTACCCCACTCAGGAACTCTACCATGAATCAAGAAGAACTCATGCATTCGCAGATCTTTCTGTCTGGCTGTACAGATGCTCGCACACTGCTCACTCATCCCACCCCCTTCTGCGTCTTCGCTGGTCATCATACCGTTCGCGAGATCTGCTCCTGTCACGGTCACGGTCTCGGTCACGGTCACGGTCACGATTATAGCTATCACGGTCTACACAAACAAAGAGGGACACACATCAGAGTCGCTCATGAGCGGACACACACATCAGAGTCGCTCATGAGCCGGCCATGGTGGGGAGGACTCACCTCTGTATCGGTCTCTCCGTCGGTCGTCGTCTTCGTCCCTCTCTCGGCGACGAGGTGACCGCCTGCCGTCTCTCTCCCGGTCCTCCCGGCCCCGCCTGCCCTCCTCCCTCCCGCCATCGCGGCCGCCGTCCACGGCACCGGGGCGGGAGCCCACGCCGTCGCTCGTCACCCTAGCCGCTATCTTTTCGGCCGCCCGCCTCGCCGCAAGGATGGCCGGATGGATGCCTGCACTGGTTGCGGCACCCGCCCCACCCAACGCCCTCTTGCTCTTCTTGTCCTCCTCATCGCTCGACAGGTCATCCTCGGGATTGACAACAAGACCGAGACCACGGTTGGCAGTGCCCTCCATGTGCAGCGAATGGGGGGCGTGCGCGCTGTCCCATCTCGACCCACCCCCACCTGCACCCCCATCGCCGCCCTTGTCCTTCGCAAAGCCGACACCGGCATGACCACGGGCGGTTGCTTGGCCACCATGCCCACTGTCACCCGTCTGCTGCTGTAGCTGCTGTGGCTGTTGCTGTGTCTGCATGGTCTGCGCGGGGATGCCGGCCATGCCTTGCGGCACTGCACCAGTGGGCATTGCCGACGAAAGGCCGGGGATGCCGGGGATCTTGGCCGGCTGAGGGGGTGGGGCCGCATTGGTGGGCTTCCCTTGTGTCGACGGCAGGAACGTGATGCCCGCCGTCTGCTTGGTGGTGGACGCAGGCAGAAAGGACGCTGATGCTCCTGGCCCCCTGCCCGCTGCCAGCGCCATCGGGCCGGCCGGGGCGGAGGGCTGGCTGCCTTTGGGCCCCGCTGCTGCTGCTGATTTGGATGGCTGGGCGAATCGGCTGAAGCCTAGACCAGCCGATGATGGGCCGGATGACTTGAACTGCTTGGCCTCTTTTTTGGTGCTGACGAACTTGAGGCCCGAGAGGCGAGCCGACTTGAAGGGACCTGCATGGACAGAGTCAGACAGATGGATAAATAAGGCAACAGATGAGGGGTGAGATCGACGCTCGTGCTGCTGCTTGACGCACCCACCATGGGTCAGTGCCAGGTCCAGCAGCTGCTGCGGAACGGCCTGGTGAGCAGTCTGAAGAGGCAAACAGGTTGGCGGATGAACACCTCTCCACACACAACACATGGCTGTGTTGTTCCCTCCCACGGGCTGCCCACGTACCTCAAGATTCTGCACGAGGTGCGCGGCCATCTTGGCCTCGGCCTTGGTGATGAAGGTGTATGCCACGCCCAGCCTACCAGCCCGGCCAGTGCGGCCCACGCGATGTGTGTGGGTCTCGATGTCCCTTGCAACATCCAGGTTGAGCACCACACTGATGGAGGGAATGTCCAGGCCGCGGGAAGCAACGTCCTGAACACACACACACGAACAACACAAGGTGTTTGCAGACGGCGGGCATGTGTGTGGGCCGGTAGTTGGTTTACTTACTGTTGCGACGAGAATCTTGATTTGTTGTTTCTTGAGGTTGGCCATGACCTCCATGCGATGGCTCTGGTCCATGTCGCCGTGCAGACCGACAGCTATCAAGACAGACAGCAGACACACAAACACATACATACACACATGGCGTGGTGGGCATGGCAGATCCTCACCCTGCATGTGGAAGCTGTCCTTGAGCTCATTCGCCCAGTGCTCGACCTTGGCCTGCGAGTTGACGAACATCAGCAGCTGGCCCTCCTGCGGCACTATCTTTTGCAGATTCGCACCTGAGACCACACACGACACGAAACAGGCAAGCCGAGTGGAGCACTGCAGTGGTGCAATGGCCCCATTCGCCTCCTTTAAAGCCTACCGAGCCACATCGCCTTTCGCTCATCGTTCTCAACGACAATGACGCGCTGTTCGACGTGCTCGGCAGCCTGAAACGAGATGACAGATGGACACGAGCACATGACGTCGCGTATCTGTGACAGTGATGCCGTCTTTACGTGTCCCGCGACGCCGATGCTGATGCGCACAGGGCTCTTAAGAAGGTCCCTGCAACACACAAGAGACGCAACAGAACCCGTCTGGCCCACACCCCTCCCTCTATCTGTCCTCGTCTCACCTCGCGAGCCGTTCAATCTTCGTAGGCATTGTCGCCGAGAAGAGCAGTGTCTGCCGGTCGGGGCGGACATTCGTGACGATGCTGCGGACCTGGCACAGTGCCAAACAACAAAAAAAGAGCAATCACGATGGAGGTGTGGATGGAACGGCCTGCCCTCGACAGACCTGTTTCTCGAAGCCCATGGCGAGCATGCGGTCGGCCTCATCGAGGACGACCATAGTGACCCTCTGGAGTGTGAACCCCTTCATCTTGACAATGTCGATGAAGCGGCCCGGGTTGGCGATGCACACCTCCGCCCCCTTGCGCAGCAGCTTGAACTGATCCGTTTTGTTCAGGCCTCCTGCCAGCACGACACTCCTGCACACCCATAGAGGAGAGGACACGAGCAGGCAGCCATGTGCAGACAGACCAGCAGCATGTGTGTACCTGTGCTGCGCTCACCCGAGTCCAGAGTTCTTTGCGAATGCCCGGAACTCGCTGTCGATCTGAAGCGCCAGCTCTCTGCACAGCCAACGGTGGCAGTTGCCGTCAGACGTGTGTCTGTAGTCATCCTGTGCTGACCGTGTCGGACACAGGACGATAGCGATCGGCCCTTCACCGGTCTCCAACTCACGCTGAGGAAGGGGAGAAACACAGAGATAGGTGTCGGTCTCCCGGCACGTCTTCATGCAGTGACTGACCTGGTCGAGGCAGTGGACGATGATGGGTATGAGGTAGGCCGCCGTCTTCCCGGAGCCCGTCTCGGCTATGCCGATCACATCACGACCCGCCAACGCAGCGGGGGCCGCCTACACACACACACACACACACACGGAGAGAGAGAAAGCAACACACAACCATTGTAGGCAGCGTCTGCATGTGTGGCGATGAATGAAGGGCATCTCTCAGCCATCACACAGCCATGCCATGCAGGTGAGCGCACGCGGCTCTCTCTCTGTCACTTGTGTCTTCGGTCCGTTTACAATGGCGCGGAGCACTTGAGCGCGCCACCAAGAATTGAACCGGTACGTATAGATAAACACATGCATTGATATGTGTGTGTACCTACCTGGCACTGAATGGGCGTGGGTGTGCTGTAGCCGTGACGAGATATCGCCGTCATGAGCTTCTGAAGCGCACACAGAGAAAACGAAAGAATGGGCACACATCGAGGCGGCGAAGGTGTCTGCCTGACCTCGCCGAGCTGCAGGTGTGCGAACGAGCAAACCGGTCTGGGCACACTGATGCCCGTCGCACTGATCTCCATCGACTTGCGGAGGCTGTCCACTTCATCGAACGTCAGCTTCGCTATCTCGCCGTGCTCCTTGTAGAAATCCTGAACACAGCGAGCCGCACAAACGCGCACACATATCAATGTGTACACACACAAGTGCATCACTGTCTGTCCGGCTCCTGATACAAGTGTCCTCACCTTCTTGAATGGCTCGTATTTGACCTTCGAGTGGTCGGTGGGGTCCAGTGGTGCGATCTCTCTGGTGAACTTGGCCTCTGCCTCCTCCTCGGGATCCAGTGCCTTCGCCGTCGCATACACCTGAACACACACACACACACACACACACACACACACATACACACACATACACACACATTGCAAACGAGGGTGGATCGGCCGGTCGATCGCCTTGATGCTCGTCACTCGCTGACCTCTTCATCGGAGTTGTAGCCGTCGTCCCCATCTTGTTTCTGCTCTTTTTTGTCGTTCTTGGCACCGTTGGCTGCCGCTTCCTCGGCAGCACGCTGCGCCTGATCGATACACACAGAGGCAGACAGACAGACAGACCCAGTTGATGTGTGACAGTGTGTCGGCGGCTCTGTGAGGTGCTCACCTGCAGGTACTCATAGAAGGACTCCAGCGGATCTTCGGCCTTCAACTCGTGAGGATCTTGCTGATGGATGGATGCAACACACACACAGATATCGCATCTATCGTTGTCTGATCTACACACACATCCGCTTGGCGTAAGTACCCTTCTCGGCTTGTGTTCCTCGGGTTTCCTCTTGGCCGTCTCGGCGTGCTGCTTCTTGACCTCGCTGTGGATGTCCTTCATGAAGGCCTCCAGCGGGTCCGCACCTCCGCTGCCCTCCCCAGCCGCCGGTGCATGCGTCATTTCCTCTTCCTCGTTGAAGTAATCGTCATCGTCGCCATCAAAGCCGCGACGGCGGCCACGCCCGAAGCCAGACATCCTGGCGGCGCTGGCGGTGGCTTTAATGACGCGTCCCGATTTGTTTGCGAGCTGAGCATGCTTTGACGGAAAAATTCTTACCCTTAACCACCCCCCATCAGGGAAAGCACGAACGAGGTCCGTGTAGGTTTTGCGTCATCCCAGGGGGGAATCCGTGTCGTTGATCTTTGCTGACTGCCGCGATGAGTGAACTGGTTGAGGGCGGCTGCCTGTGCGGCACAGCGCTTCACGATCCGCATGACTGACGCGGAGCCCATTCATCCGCCCACCCTCTGCTGCTGCCGTATGTGCCAGAAATGCCTCGGTAAGTTCCAATGCTCTCTCTTCACCCGTGCGCGATACGTCTCGTCTGTGTGCCTCATTTTTTGGTGTGCTTTGTGTTGTGCAGGTGCTCCGGCGGGCCTGTTCATGTGCGTTGACCGTGAGAACTTCACTCTGACCAGCACCGCGGAAGTCAAGACGTGCGAGACCTGGCACACGACCTGTCGGAACGTCCGCATGTTCTGCAGCAAGTGCGGGGCGCACTTCGCGTTCGAGTCGCCCACGGATCTGCCAGGTGGGTGGGGTGTGGTGTGTCTGCCGCACGATGACAGACAGACAGGGAGGCACCTCTGCATCGATTGGCTCTGTCTGTGTGTGTGTGTGTGTCAGGTATGGTGACGGTAGCTGTGTGCTGTTTCGACGACCCGTCCAAGTATCCC